TAACATACAACAGTGTATTATAACTTTCTAAAGGGTGCAGGTAATAGGAAGCATTTATCAAACTTTTTTTGTGTTCACAAAACTCTTCTAGAGAACTGAGCAGGAAAATTAAGCTGGAGAAGTAAACTAGTGTTCTGTGGAATACACTTTGGGAAATGTGGTAGTGGCATTTAGAGAAGAGTAGTATCTATCTGTACGGAGCAGGAAATAAAGACTTCATGTTGTCTGTGGAACTTTATTTGGCATTGGCAAATGGAATACAGAGGTAAAGAAAAAAGTAGATATTCCATCCAGATGGGGAATCAATATTGACCTGAAGTTGTCGGAAAGTGAAATATTAAATTTTCTTAAAATAAGGATGATAAAGGTAAGATTGATATTTTTTCTTATATCACCAATTTGATTATAATAAAAGCAATTTATAGAAATGCATATAGGATAATCTTAGCACCTTAAGAAAGTAATTTTTTGGAATAACTTGACAATACAAGGTTTTGATATTTTGTCAATTTAAGCAGAGAGGAAACAAGTGGGTAAAATAACAGAGTACAGAGGTAGACTTTGGTAAGTAAAGTGTTTGCTAGGATCTGTGTAGCCCTTTCAGGAAAGGGTTGAGGTTGTATTTGGTAAATGTGCCCCAGACATGGCAACCCTTTGTGCTTTTGTGTGCAGAAAGGTTATCACCTCTTTTCTTGTGTCTCACTAGGCTGCCTTTGGTGCCATCTCCCCATTTTGCCATGTGTTTGCACTTTTCCTGAACAACACTTGAGTCAATATGCCTTTGGATGCCAAGAGAGGGCTGCTCAGTTTTGTTGGCATTGCAGGAAATGCTTTCAGAACAAAACTAGGAACTCCTTGCTGAAGCCACAGTTTGCTGACTAGTGCTTGTGGAATGGAGTGTGCTCATCTGCTTTGGGATTTTAATTACTCGGGGTGATAGGTGCATTCAAATTACCTGTTTATTCCATGAGCTCATTTTGACAATACAAAGATGGCCATGCAAGTGAACCAATCACAGGTAATTGCCATAGGAAACTGAAGGCCAAATAAACCTCCTTCTATGGCACTGAGTTGGCCCTGGACAGCTTTTGCTCATTTTGGACTTACCAGTTCAGTGAGGCAAAATCACTATGGCTTTGCTGTTGACTTTACTGTTCTTTTGGTAGCTAAATATACCCACAAAATAATTTTTAGAGAGGTGACTAGGATCCCTATGTATTTTTCAATATCTGTGGTTAACTGAGACATAATTTTCATGCTGTAATGTCCATTTAGGCAATGGAAGAAATCTTTTTTCCTCTTCAGAATTTTGGAAATTCCAGGTATGATGTACATAGTATTTTCCACCAGAACATTTCCATTTCAGCTAAGATGGTATTTGTGGAGTCCATATTAAGCATCAAGCTTAGCTTATTTGCTTTCTTATTTGCTATTTACTAGAATTTTGTGGTAAAATATTGTTGTTTCCATTTAATTGAACAAACAGAGTAAGAAGCATTCACTAAATTGCTGTTTTAGTCCATTCTGCACAGTTGGAAGTAAAATGGAATTTTTGAGTCTGGGTGTATTCTAAAGAACAGTGCCACTGCAGAGTGGGAAGTCCAAGGTTAAAGACCCACACATGGCCAGGGCCTTCTTGTGTTGTCCTACAGTAGAAACCAGAAGGTCAAGAGAACCCACATGCATTAGAGAGTAAGAGATTGAACTTGCACCCTGAGCCCTTTTGTAATTGGCATTAATCTGTTTATGAGGGCAGAGCCTCATTGCTTAAACATCTCTCATTAGGCCCTATCTCCTAATGCCTTGGCATAAGGGATTAAGGGTCCAACACATGTGTTTTGGGAGGCACATTCAGATCATAGCACTTACTTTACACTGAACGGCCTTCAGGGGATGGGGGGCGGGCTGAAAACCACATCTTTTTGATACTTTCCTGCCTTCCATATAAGCTATAAGTGAGATACGCCAGAGGCTAGTCATAAACCATTCAAACTATTCTTTGTTTGTTTATTTATTTATTTATTTTTCTTTTTTAGATAGGGTCTTGCTATGTAGTCCAAGCTGGCCTTGAACTTACTGTGGAGTCCAGTGATCTCCAACTCACGGCTCCTGCCTCAGCCTCCCAAATGCTGGGATTACAGGCATGTGCCACCATGCCTGGATATTCTTTGTTTTTTAGAATAAAAAAAAGTCACCTCCTTCTTTATGAAATGTTGTAACTTGAGGCCATGATAAAGTCTGGAGAGTAAGGATAGAGTGCATTTTTTAGCAAGATCTTCAGGGTTGAATGTTTCCCAAGAAGCACCTCCTGCAATCATTTTAGTGAGACTTCTTTGTGAGCCAACATCACAGCATTCTCAGAGCCTCCAGGGATTAGAAAGTGTGGAGGCCTGTCCACTCCCTGAGCTGTTCACTCAGACCTTTACACGGCTTCCCTGATGACTGAATCAAACCTGAACTTTTCCTTGTACAGATGAAGAGCTGCCAAGTCACCATCTCATTTTTCCTTCTACTCTGGCTTGGCTCAACGTCTGCAGTTGCCCTCCATTCCTAGCAGGTACAGTTCCCGCCTCCCCTGTAGACCCTCATCCCTGAGGCTCCTCCCTGCCTGTCTGTGTGCTCCTCACTCTTCCAGGCTCACTGGAGTCCTGTTTGCTCTGGGGAGCTTCTTCCACGATGCTCCTTTCTCAGGTACTTGATTTCCCTGGTTGGCCTGGTGTTTGAGGCTTTGGGAGAAGGTTTCTCAGAACTGAGAAGCAGGAACAAAGGGCAGCAGTCTTTGCTTTTCACTCCAACTGACCTGTGCTTTTTTCTGTTGTGTAGATAGGGACATTTTCCATTTTGATAGGACATCAGCACCACGGGGTAGCGTTGTTAGCGGGGCCCATGAACATCAGGTTTTAGACTGGGGTGCTGACTCAGGCTAAAAATACCCTGTGGGTAACTGCACTATAAAAATTAGGATGCTAATTTATTAATTTAGCTGGGGAAACACAGCACCAAGAGGACTGGAATGCCTTAGTCAGCTTGGCTAGGACACTTGCGCCTTGAGAGCGAGCTGGCTCCCTCGGAAACCAGATTATCTCCTGGGTGTTTGGAGAGCACAGAAACAGAACCTGACATCACTTGGAACTAGCAATGCTTCTGAGCCTGGGTAAATCCACACACTCTAAAACCTCAGTATGCATCAGTCACATTGAGTTGGGTACCACCCCTAGAAAAAGTTGTGTACATATGTGTGTACCCGTGTGTGTACAAATGGTGTGAATTAGCATTGCTGATAAGTTCCCATGTGTGCTGATGTTGCAGGTCTGGGGTCACACTGCCTTTCATCAGTAGGCACCCTTATTGTATAATCATGTCACCAGTCATTGCAGGAAACAGTAGTGCTTATGCACACGAAGCTATATCATCCTTTCCTCTGAATATTCCTGGTAGTCTCTGAGAACTTTGGATTATTTCTTCATGTGGTTTTAAGACTTATTAAGTTGTGATTCCATTGCCTTTCTCCACAAAAGTATAGGAGAGGGAACATAATACATTGGTTTCCCTTGGCTACATAACAATTGCACCGTAGATCTGTATCTTTGAGGTCACTCTCAGGTACCTGTCTTCCTAGAAGTGTGGGTATTCTCAAACCTTTTCGTTACACATTTATGGCCCATATTGTTTTCTCTGCTACTCCTTCCACATAGATCCATACTCCCCGAGTTTTAAATCTTGCACCATATGCAGATTTTGGTAATTTTTTATTGTGAAGTATATTTCATTTGGAGGAGAAGATTCCCAGTTTGTTTTCTGTCACATTTCTTTGATTTCTTTCCTCTTCTCTACCCAGTACCCAGTAAATCTGAACAATGGTGCTCTTCTTTGGCCTATTTTTGTCATGAGGTAATACAGTGAAAGACACTTGGTTGTAATTTACCACTGATAGAGATTTCCTGCCTAAAAGTTTAACAGCATGAGTCACAATGTCATGGACATATGAAAAAAAGCTGTGACCCATGTCCTAAGAGTAATTGGACCCAGGCTAATGAGGACCAAGTGGTTTGCGTACACAGCCTAAATGCACTCATTGATGCTTTCTGCTTCCCTCTTATCTTTTAGGCTTCCTGGGGAGCTCGGTTAGCTCCCTAGGGAAACAGGAAAGCCTTGAACTATGGGGCTTATTATGGTAATGGTAGACTTGAGGGACTAGGGTAGATATAGCTAGAGACTGTGCTTAAAAAGAAATCAAATATTCAAATGTTAGAAAGGGATTTAATTTTTTAATTTATTGGTTTTGAAAGTCCTTCAGCCTGGGATGAAAAGTTTGCTATATACTCACCTGGAATGTGATTTTGGGCAACACTATGAAGACTTCAGTTTTATGCTAAGGCAGGTAATGGGGACCTCAAGCCTCTCTTATTTCTCACTGGAGCTGAATTTAATGAGGATGCTATTGAAGATTGGGGACTAGAGATTGGTAGGCATCATAGCAACCTTTTAATGAAGCTGTTCCGCACATTGAAGTTTGTACGAAGCCAAGACAATTCATTATCTGTGATTAGCCTGTCATTTCTTGAGTGTAAGCCAAGGGGCTCTTCTTTCTCCTTGTTTCTGTCACCCTGGGTAGTTATGTTCATCACTTTCTCATCTCTGGGACACAACCCCTACCACCCACAATGGAAGGGTGGACAGACTTATTCTGGCTCACGGTTTAGTCCATGGTCAGCTGCTCCAAGGAAGGAAGGGTGCAGTGGATGGCCCTGGATAGAGTGACACCGCTCACATCACAATGGCCAGGATGCAGAGAGAGAAGGGAGGAGGTAAGAAGGGAGATACACCCTTCCAGGTCTCACTCCCAGTCAGCCTTTTCTGAGCAGACCCCACTTCCTAATAGGAAGTCAGCTATGTCACTCGCATAATCCAGTCACCTCCAAAAGCTCTGCCTATGAGTGATCAGGACTTTGGGGGACCTTCTTTATCCAAACTATAACTGCCATGCAGTAAACTTTCCTCTTTCTTCTCCTTACTTTTTCTCCATCTTTCCTCTTCCTCTTTCTTGCTGTCATGTGGCAGAGAAGACAGCCAAGTGCACTGGTTGCATGGTGAATAACAGGTGAGTGCTAGAAAGCCAACCATGTTGGGGTGGGTTTGTATTGTGTCACTTCACCTTGGCTGTTGCCCAGAAATCCTTCCCTTACATATTTCTGTGTTAAAATGAGCTAAAGCGACATCTGTGAAAGATTTAGAAGGCACATGTGAAGCAAGACCCATATTCTTTCCCTGCTTAGGAGGACTGTGCATGGCTTGTGGTGCTTTTCTTGCTCCTGCTGCTCCTGCTGGGTCCTCCTGCTGCTGCTCCACCTCCTGGGCTTGGCAAGAATCCAGTTTCATGATGAAAAATTCTGACACAGTACTCTGTGATTGAAGGTGGGGGCTTGAGAGATACAAAAAAATAACATGTGTTCCAGTCTGTCTTTGCAGAATCCATCGCATCTTGCAGATCCAGCGTGTCCTTGTTTTCCCCACTTTCTTTTTGATGCTAACCTCTTCTGGTTTCAGATCTCACACCAGACACACGAGGTGCAGTCTCATGGAGGGGGATGAACCACCTCCCTCTGCTGTATAAGTCGGCACTTATTACTATCTCCTGGGGGCTCAGCCTTTCTGATTGAACAAGGCTGATATGCCATACCTCAGTTTGATAGGCAGGGGAATTTGTAGTATCTCTGGTTGAGATCAATCAACAGGGAATTTGGTCACTGGCTTTTAAATTTATCTAGCACCCAATGGGAAGACATTGAGGATAGTCAAGAATTTGGATCTGAATGACCAATTAGCTGATTCCATTGAAAGGTACTTTATGCAAATTAACCTGGGAAAGAAGATTCCCAGATCCTGCTAAGCCATTCTGAAAACTGAAAACATTCTGAAAACCTGAAGACTCACCAACTTTTTTTTGGCATAAAATAAAATAAACCATATAAATACATTTAAGGAGAACATATTATTATTTCACTTCATAATTCTAAATATATCTTAATGATTACTTTAAATCTTCCAAGTTTTAAAAATATGTCTTGATACTTTACTTATTCAGGGGCTGAGAGGGGTGATGAAGTCTGAGATAGTATTGTATTTGTGAGGCCCCCCCCCACTGATTTATGACAGATATTTCTGTTATTCGATGATTGTATTTTTAATAAATAATTCATTTTCAGTAAAAAAAAGATTCAGCAATTTTGAAGCAACAGAAGAATGAAGCTTCTTTCCTGGGCTGCATCTTTGGTTTAGAACTTCAGAAAGACAGATGCTATCTGCAAAGCTGTTTTATGCTTTTTTTTTTTCTGTTCACTTTTCATTGCCATCATCTTTAAAAAACTGAGGCAAAGGAAGATAGCAAAAAGAAAAAGACCTTGTTACTTTTCTTCCTCTCTCCTTCTTTTACCTCTCATTTCACTGTTCCAAAGCACATGCATATGGCTATCCAGTGTGCACATTGTTTTTGTGGGAAACTTGATAGTTTTGGACACAACACAATTATTTATATTTATGAAATTCCATCTTGAATGTGGGCAGTTCCTTATAAGAATAATATTTAGGCCTCTGTCTTTACTGTCCTAGAGGAAGCTACCTGAATCATGCTTTGATCTTTTTCTAAAAAACCACCCCAAAAGAATCTTCTCATCCTTAGGGAGAAAAGCATTTTTTGATCCATGGTTCAGGATTAAATTATAAGCACTTAACCTACCTTTCATAGTCCAGAAAGGCACAATACCCAAATGTTCCCAAATTCTTCTATTCTAAGAGTAAATTTGACTCAATACAAGCTTATTTTTAAGTTCAGGTTATGATAGGCTATTTCAAAGTGTTAGAAATCACAAGAAGCAGGGGCTGGGGATTTAGCTCAGTGGCAAAGCACCTGCCTGGCAAGCGCAAGGTCATGAGTTCGGTTCTTGGTACCGGAGAAAAACCAAAAAAAAAAAAAAAAAAAAA